TCGGTTGTATATTAGTTAAGGAAAGTTAACGTACGTTTTTTTAGTTTGTAGATAGCCGTGTTCTTTTGTGTCTTGTTCCAAGAATATTTCTTGACCTTCCTCCTTCAAGCCTCCAGGTGCAACTCTGTTGAAACGAAACATAATGTCTGACTGGTCCTTGTCCAAACCGGCCACCGGAAGCCGTTTGAGAATGGATTTCTTGTCTGCCATTCTCGACCACACGATACTGGTGTTGTCAGAATTTGCAGAGCTGAGAAATCTGAGCAGTAAAAAGTGTAGAAGTGATAAGACAGACCTATGTGTCAGACAGACCTAGGGTTAAGACAGGCCTATGTGTCAGACAGACCTAGGGTTAAGACAGGCCTATGTGTCAGACAGACCTAGGGTTAAGACAGACCTATGTGTCAAACAGACCTAGGGTTAAGACAGGCCTATGTGTCAGACAGACCTAGGGTTAAGACAGGCCTATGTGTCAGACAGACCAAGGGTTAGGACGGACCTATGTGTAAGACTGACAAGCGGTTAAGCCAGAACTATGTGTAAGATATACCTCTTTGGAAGACAGACGTATGTGTAAGTACAAGACAGGTCTACAAATAGGTAAGACATACTTATGTTTAAAACAAACCTTTTTGTACGTCAAACGTACGTGTAGAATAGGCCTATGTGTAGACAGACCTGCGTGTATGATAAGCCTTTTTTGTAAGACATTCCGATGTGTAAGACATGCCTATGTATAAGTCAGTCCATTAATCGGGTTAGGCCGCTTTGTAATTCGCGTAGAGCGATCAGTAAATAGATACTTTTGTGCTCAGCCAGATATTGGTCTGTAATGACTATCTGGGTGTCGTGCTGTCCGTTGTATTTTGGCTTTTTGGACTCCATTTGCCATTAATAGTTATACTCAAACTACTGCAGTTTTATGTTGCAAGAGTCCGTGAGAAAAAAAAATGTTGATTAATATGAACTTGTTTACTCCAGTGAACTTGAAGACCAGCTTATTTTGCTAAAATCACAAACTTTATCACCGCTGAAGAACACGCTACTCAATCTAAAATGTGTGTCATCGATTGAACTCTTCATGGTCTACTACGCAGCCTTTGAGAATTTGGATTAGTTGGATGAGTTCGGTTTTGGTAGAGACAATGCAGCATGACGAATGGAATGATACATCTTGAAAACCTAATACACTAGATGTCGCTCTTGTCTTTAGCAAGGCTCAAGCCACCTTTGATGAGGGTGATCATCACGACTTGTTAGTCAATGGCTGCTTCAAAATATGTCGCTTTTTTTTTTTGTTCTATTACGGCAGGGGGGCAGCCAGCATTTCGAGAATACAAATATTTGAGCATCTTTCTAGAAATTTTTAATGGCTTAGAAAAGCTTAGGGAACAAAATGTGAACAGCTCAGAGAAAGCAAGACAGAACAACCGGAGTCCTATCTTTGAACTGTCCTGGCAGCTAGAAATAACACCCCTTTTAAATAGTTAGATACACCCCAATCAGTTGACCCAAATATATCATTTATATTCAGCTGTCAAGATGAGAACATCTTGTCATCATTAAGAAGTAAGGGCTTTAAAACAGTCATCAGTAATTCCTAGGCACGTCTATCCTCTAAGTTAATTAGTCAGTGTAGGCTCTACACGTATGTTCAATACTTGTATTAGTATAAGTTATAGCCAACTACGACTATTGCTATTTATGTGTTGCAAGTGATGCACACGTAAATTTCTACACAGTAGGAAGATCATTGTTGCCCCTGGCAACGTTTGCACACTACCCTACTAGTCAGTGACATTAAAAACCAAGAAGTGTCAAGTAGAAAAGGTGCTTGAACCAAGAAAATCTTTTGATTGGGCTGAGTGGTTTTCTTCAAATACTATTATCTAACCCGATTCTGTTTTAATTTTGTCAAATTTTGTTAATTTAACCATTGAAAATGCAATTTAAGTTTTAAATGATAATTTCAGCAGGACCTACCGAGAAGAGTCTAGACACCAGCAAGTTCCGGTCGTTTGAATTTAACACCTGCGCCATATTGGGCTCAATGCACACTTAGCGGGGATTTCCCATTTTTTAAAAATGATTGTCTAGTGACACTTGCACTTTCTAACCAGTGCTCACACGATTCCTTTTATGTCCCACTAGAATTCACCATGGCGGAGTTTCGGCATTCATCCAGTTGTCCCACTAGAGTCAACCATGGCAGAGTTTTGGTATACATCCAGTTGTCCAACTAGAGTCAACCATGGCGGAGTTTTGGTATACATCCAGTTGTCTCAATAGAGTCAACCATGGCAGAGTTTTGGTATACATCCAGTTGTCCAACTAGAGTCAACCATGGCAGAGTTTTGGTATAGGGCCTACATCCAGTTGTCCCACTAGAGTCAACCATGGCAGAGTTTTGGTATAGGGCCTACATCCAGTTGTCCCACTAGAGTCAACCATGGCAGAGTTTTGGTATACATCCAGTTGTCTCACTAGAGTCAACCATGGCAGAGTTTTGGTATACATCCAGTTGTCCAACTAGAGTCAACCATGGCAGAGTTTTGGTATACATCCAGTTGTCCAACTAGAGTCAACCATGGCAGAGTTTTGGTATACATCCAGTTGTCCAACTAGAGTCAACCATGGCAGAGTTTTGGTATACATCCAGTTGTCCAACTAGAGTCAACCATGGCAGAGTTTTGGTATACATCCAGTTGTCCAACTAGAGTCAACCATGGCAGAGTTTTGGTATACATCCAGTTGTCCAACTAGAGTCAACCATGGCAGAGTTTTGGTATACATCCAGTTGTCCAACTAGAGTCAACCATGGCAGAGTTTTGGTATACATCCAGTTGTCCAACTAGAGTCAACCATGGCAGAGTTTTGGTATACATCCAGTTGTCCAACTAGAGTCAACCATGGCAGAGTTTTGGTATACATCCAGTTGTCCAACTAGAGTCAACCATGGCAGAGTTTTGGTATACATCCAGTTGTCCAACTAGAGTCAACCATGGCAGAGTTTTGGTATACATCCAGTTGTCCAACTAGAGTCAACCATGGCAGAGTTTTGGTATACATCCAGTTGTCCAACTAGAGTCAACCATGGCAGAGTTTTGGTATACATCCAGTTGTCCAACTAGAGTCAACCATGGCAGAGTTTTGGTATACATCCAGTTGTCCAACTAGAGTCAACCATGGCAGAGTTTTGGTATACATCCAGTTGTCCAACTAGAGTCAACCATGGCAGAGTTTTGGTATACATCCAGTTGTCCAACTAGAGTCAACCATGGCAGAGTTTTGGTATACATCCAGTTGTCCCACTAGAGTCAACCATGGCAGAGTTTTGGTATACATCCAGTTGTCCCACTAGAGTCAACCATGGCAGAGTTTTGGTATACATCCAGTTGTCCAACTAGAGTCAACCATGGCAGAGTTTTGGTATACATCCAGTTGTCCAACTAGAGTCAACCATGGCAGAGTTTTGGTATCTATTCAGTTTACAAGTTACCATAAAGCTATTCTCGTGCTCTGGTGCTAGGAATGGCTGAGGATTATTTTTATACATGCATTTAGGGGTACACATGTAGTCAGAACTTGGTGAGGGTCTTCTACTGTGCTCTGTTTGGTGAGGCTTAGCTACTGTGCACTGTTTGGTGAGGATTAGCTACTGTGCACTCTGTTTGGTGAGGATTAGCTACTGTGCACTGGTTTGTGAGGCTTAGCTACTGTGCACTGGTTTGTGAGGCTTAGCTACTGTGCACTGGTCTGTGAGGCTTAGCTACTGTGCACTGTTTTGTGAGGCTTAGCTACTGTGCACAGGTTTGTGAGGTTATCTACTGGGCATTGGTTGGTGAGGATTATCTAATGTGCCCTGTTTGGTGAGGGTTAGCTTCTGTGAACTTGGTCGTGAGAGTAAGTAACTGTGCACTGGTTGGTGAGGATTAGCTACTGTGTAATGGTAGCAAGACTTGAAGATTGCCTTCCAGAACAGACCAACAACCCCAAAGCAACATTGTAACAGGTATCTAACAAAAAAGATCTTCATCACAGATCAAAATTTCGCCCAACTCTGAACAAGTAATAACATTTGGTGTGTGGACTAAAAACAACTTTAAAAAATGGCTACTCAATGCATCAAACGTTTATCTTAAGAATGGAATTATTGGACAGAAGCAAAAGAAAATTCTGGTTGTAAAATATGCAGCTTGAGCCTGCAATGTGTGAAGATGTAGAAATTGTTAATGTGATCACCAACTCCAGCGTGAAAGAAAAAGCCTATTAAGCCTTTGTCCGACCGCTTTTAGATTACGCATCTTCAGTCTGGGACCTAACCACCCAGACGAGCATCAACAGGTTGGAGGCGGTCCAGCAACGGGCAGAACGCTTTGCCCTGAACCACTACGGGAATACCAAAAGTTTTGGCAGCCTGCTGAAAACACTGGGCTGGTCACCATTGGAGGAACGATGAAGACTATCCAGGATCACCATGGTGTACAAGATAAAAAATGGACTGGTCCACTGCTTCAGCATCAAACAAAAACTTGTCCCTCTCCCTCCTAGACAGCGATGAGGCCACGGCAGGCAGTTCCGGCTCATAAAAACAAGAGCTCAGTACAGGAACTCCTCATTCAAGCAACAGTTAAGGCGACTACACTTGACACATTTGCGCCTATTGCCTCCTGTCTTCCAATCCCCGGTTCTTAATACCATCGCCGAGTAGCCCTTGCAACCAGTGACATATTCTCTTTAAAACCATGCACAGAAACACTGCGGATCCCTCTACGGACATAGGAGACAGAATGATCAATACATTGATCGTGCGCCCTCAAAATATAGAAGAAGAATAAGATATTTGAAGATATAGAAATTGTGCCTGTAATATGGGAAGATATAGAAATTTTGCCTGTAATGTGGGAAGATATAGGTTGTACCTGTATGTGTTGGCATTTAGATGCACTTACAAAAGATGTTAATTAAGAAAATAAATATTATATATTTTTCAATGATAATATATTTTATTTTTTTATCATACAATAATAAACATATTGGCAATAATGGAAAACATAAAAAGATATACACATTTATATTAAAAAATGTAAAAATACACTGCTAAATTTATTTGGATAGTTTAGAAATTTACAATCCACAATGACAGCACTAATGTCTCAATCATTTTTTCACTACTAATTTATTTGTATCTGACATGACAGCACTAATGTCTCAGCCATATTTTCACTACCAATTTATTAGCGCAAAAGTAACATTCATTATTTTACTTTTATAATCAATTAAGCCTTTAAACTTAATTTGAATTATTTCTTTTAGTTCCAGCCTAAGATTATCATGGGGAAATAAGAAATATCTGAGCTATGTGCACAATGTGAGATATTGCATTTTCACTTTGAGAAGTGGATGGTAAATGCACAAGCAACATATAAATTGGATCTATGTGCATAGATGAGACATCCATTTATAAAGCAACTTTTGATGGATGATAGACTTGTAGTGAGAGACGGTGAAACCTGATGACAACCTACAACATGTTATCAACAGCTTACTTGGTCATGTATATAATATATAATTACTACTTATTGCAGTCAACTTTAAGGGATCACACTCCAGAATAATAGGTATATTCTTATTTTTGTAACTCTTTGTATACCGATCAAACTCTTTGTATACCAATGGAACTCTTTGTATTCCACTGTAACTCTTTGTGTACCATTGTAACCCTTGCCGGACTATGTCAGCATTCAGCTTCTGAAGGAGTTAGGCAGGGAGTGTCTGATTTACGACAGAGCTGAATTTATTGGATTGAAACACAGACAGGAACACAAGTGTCGATCATTGTTGTCATGAGGTCAAACAGCTGATTTTATGGGCGTGCTCGTCAGAGTTCCAAACGAGGTGAATCCATTTTTGTTCCTGGTGTCCAGCTCCTCCTGTAGCATGTTTGACCTGAGCTGTAACGAGTTGACCTGAGATTTCAGGGACGTGATAGTGTCCTCAAGTTCCTGGATATACAATGGGGAGATTATCATTGATCAGAAAAAGCTATTGCACTTGCTGTATGAGATTGGTTACCATAGATACAGCTACAAAACCGTATGTATTTAATGCAGCATTCCATAAGAGAAATAACAGAAGTAAACATTGTAAATCGGACACAGAAATTAAATGACAAAAATGAAAATGACATTCACTGAATTCATTCAATATTTTTCTCCAACTAAAACATCCAAATCCAAATATTGTATGAAACTATTTTACGAAAATATTATTAGAAAACGTCCAAATAACAATTGTCAAAATACCCTGAGCTGTAACATACCTGTTTTATTTCGGAAGGTAACAGTCCATGAATTTTTTCCTCAAATTGCAGTTTCAATTCAGTCAGCTAGAAAAGAGGTGAAACATGTTCATGTTATTTTGTTCATCGTCCAAAGCCTTGAGTTCAAATTTAATCAAATTGGGGCAACTGTTTGATGTTATTGTGTCATCATACAAAGCCTTGAGTTCAAATTTAATCAAATTGTGGCAATTGTTTGATTTTATTGTGTCATCATACAAAACCTTGAGCTCAAATTTAATCAAATTGTGGCTACTGTTTGATGTTATTGTGTCATCATACAAAACCTTGAGTTCAAATTTAATCAAATTGTGGCAACTGTTTGATGTTATTGTGTCATCATACAAAGCCTTGAGTTCAAATTTAATCAAATTGTGGCTACTGTTTGATGTTATTGTGTCATCATACAAAACCTTGAGTTCAAATTTAATCAAATTGTGGCAACTGTTTGATGTTATTGTGTCATCATACAAAGCCTTGAGTTCAAATTTAATCAAATTGGGGCAACTGTTTGTGGAAGGTGGGTGGCGTTGACAATATCCACCCTGCCTCACTTGGAATAGTCTACATTTTACCTCACCTTTTCCTCATGCTCAGATTCCTCTTGCTGTAATCTTCTCTCAGAGTGGCGGGCCCTGTTGATCTGAGCCTCTAGCTCGTGTTGAATGGTCTGAGTAAACAATCAGCACTAACCAATTAATACTTTTAAAAAAATCTATGCAGTTCAAAAACTATAATTTCATCTTTGACTTGATCTACATAAATTTAAAGAATGAAAGCCACAGGCTCCTCCCACTGCTACACAAGCTCCTCCCACTCATACACAAGCTCCACCCATTGCTACACATGCTTCTCCCCACTGCTATACCAGCTCCTCCCCACTGCTACCCATGCTCTTCCCATCGCTAAACATGCTCTGCCCATTGCTACACATGCTCCTCCCACTGCTACACAAGATCCTCTCACTGTTATACATGCCTCCTTCTACTGCACAAGCTCCTCCCCCTACAACAAAGAAATCCCCCTAATTTAGTCAAACCATAGGCAAAAGACAAAATGACAAAAACTGATTAATGACTTTGGCGATCAATATTTAATAAAAACATAAAATTCTCTGTTTCTTTTAAAGATAAAACCAAGTGAAAATGAGTGTCGGTAAAAACCTCTAAATTATTTCTCCCCATTATTTAATATAATTTGAAACAACTCACCGCCAAGTTCTGGGAATACTGTTTACGTAGAATCTGTTTCTCTTCCTCGTGGCGAAGTTTTAATTCAGACAGTCTCATTTCACCGGCTTCCTTGCTGCTACAATTTGTGTGTTGAAAACAAAACTTTGATTAACGTGACAGAATCTCGACAGCTCAGCAACCATAAAAATGATTTCTCTTTCATTTTTGTTTAATGTCATTTAGTGCAACATAAGATGGATAAAATAGTCAGAATTCAACTAAAGACAAAGAACATTTTATCTCCATGAAGATGTTTTCATAAATGAATGAGGTGCAACTAAAAATGATCAAGTTATTCTCAAAGAGAGATAAAGAAATGATATGACAAAATACCTCTGAAGCTCTGCTCTCAGCTGGGCTGTCACTGTCTGCAGCTCTGTCACTGACTAAACTCAGAAATAACCAAATAACAGAAGTTATGTTGACATAAAAAAAGACCAAAAGTACCTGCACTTCATTTTAGCACAGTTAACACCAGAACCCGCAGTGCTTCATCCCAGAGTTTGTATTCTTTGGAAAAATCTAATGATGAAATTATTTAAACTGTCAAGTTCAGAATCATATAACATTGTCTTGAAAGTGATAATTAAAAATTTGAATTTGTTCCCAACCCATGGGTAAACCAGCTATTTGTTCCCAACTCATGGGTAAACCAGCTATTTGTTCCCAACCCATGGTTAAACCAGCTATTTGTTCCCAACTCATGGGTAAACCAGCTAGTAGTTTCCAACTCATGGGTAAACCAGCTATTTGTTCCCAACTCATGGGTAAACCAGCTATTTGTTCCCAACTCATGGTTAAACCAGCTATTTTTTCCCAACCCATGGCTAAACCAGCTATTTGTTCCCAACCCATGGTTAAACCAGCGATTTGTTCCCAACCCATGGGTAAACCAGCTATTTGTTCCCAACTAATTGGTTAAACCAGCTATTTGTTCCCAACTCATGGTTAAACCAGCTATTTGTTCCCAACCCATGGGTAAACCAGCTATTTGTTCCCAACCCATGGCTAAACCAGGTATTTGGAAGATTTTGTTGCATTCAAGGGATAATTTCCAAAATAATGTTTCAAAGCCATCTATCAATAATTAGCCAACCTAATTTCAATTACAGCCAAATACTTAGCACAGACAAATACTTAGCACAGCCAAAAACTCAGCCCAGTCAAATACTTAACACTTCCAAAGAAAACAAATAAAATGTAATAAATTCATTAACAGGACAAGGAACTTCTCCCACTCACCTCTGATGCCTTGTTGGCTCGGTCAGCAAAGTCCTTCTCAATATTCTTGAGCCGGTGGTTTGTCTGGATAGACATTTGAACATTTTTTTATCAGACATTCTAAACCTCATTTCATTGATCAAGAAGCCCATGACAGGCAGAGACATATTTTTTTATTATATTCTAGGGTTTCTCTACCTTAAGTAATAATAAATTAAAATGATGGAATTCAGAGGGAAAATTCCACTCCCCACTACACAAAACAAACACACACCACACACACAAAGCGCACAGTGGGAAGATACAAATATTCCTGACACCTTCTCTAGTAGTGTTTCCATCTCCAAACTGTGCGTCCTCTGTAGCTCGAGCCTCTGTTGTTCCATGTCCGCCCTCACGCGCACAAGCTGAGCAGACAGAGAGACATGACATCACCAATAGAAATAAGGCTTTGGACACAGAAAGTGATCCCAACACATAATGTCACAGAATATTTCCAACAAACTTAATCATGTTAATATTATTATTAATGTTAATTTTACTGATCAGAAATATTTTTTTTTTACTTAAATTTAAAAAATAAAAAAAAAATTTAAAAAAATGAAGTAGCTCAATTATTTAAAAAATAACTGACCTCTGCCTCGTGGTCTCGATTCATCTTCTGTTTCTCTTCCTCTCGCAGTAATCCTAGTTCCACCAGCTGTTGTTTTCGGAGTTGATTTGCTTGAAGAAGTTCTTCTCTCAACTCACGGATCATCCTGTCACTGTCTGTTGCTGCCTAAAGAAACAAAAATTTCTATCGTACTAATAATTCACAGATTTCAAAGCAAACCATTCCCTGTTTCTAGGCGGGTTTATTATTTCTCACTTGGCTAAAATGTTTTAAATATGTGCCTGAACTACCACTTTCAATATGACTACTAAGACACATTTGATTTCTTTCCCCATATTTCTTTTAAACACAATCATCATCAAGACATGAAACTTTTCAATGGATGAATATTTATATAGTTAGATCTTAACGAGAAATAGCACTTTTATAAAAGGGATACATTTCATGCAGTTTCTGAAATAGAACGAGATAAAATACTCAGTTTTTATGGGCATCAAATGTATTCCTATTATACCAGGAAAAAGTACTTGACTGGATTTGGCAAGTACTAAGAGTTAATTTACAGAGCTCAGCGAAGCCCCAGCCATGATGTCTACACAAACCTTTTCTGACTTATCCTGCTTCTCCCGCAGCCTGGCTTCCAAGGCCAAGATTTCTGCTCGATGGAGTTCTTTTAAGTTCTCTATATCCCTCTCATTTTCACTCAGGATGTATTCTTTCTGCATGTGGAACTCTCTCAGCATCTGGGACTTCTCCCCCTCAAATGATAGTTTGATCTCAGCTACCTGTAGAAATAAAAATATTGACATGGTCATCCACCTTGGATTCCCCTGTTGACAGATATCCTATGTTTTCATGGTGGTGACATAATGTGACAAATCCAGAACATCATTCAAATGATGGAAATATCAGGGGTTCTCAAACTGATGTATCCTGCAGTTCTTTCATGGATGTCTGACAGGTTCTTACATCTCTATAATGGATGCCTGACAGGTTCTTACATCTCTAATGGATGCCTGACAGGTTCTTACATCTCTAATGGATGCCAGAAAGATTCTTACATCTCTATAATGGATGTCTGACAGATTCTTACATCTCTATAATGGATGCCTGAAAGATTCTTACATCTCTATAATGGATGCCTGACAGGTTCTTACATCTCTATAATAAAAGTTGAAATAATTAGCAAGAAAAATGTAAGGTAAAATCTTTACAAGGTTCTATTCCACTATTCAATACCTCCTGTTGATGTTTGTAGCGTTCCTCCTCCATCTGCCTGGCCAATTCTTTGGACTGTTTCTCTCTTGCCTGTTTGGACTTTTGGAGATCACTTTCTACTTTCTGCATCTAAGAAATAAAAGCCAAAATTAAAAAAATAATAATTTCCCAGAAATATACAGACTGAGTTGCACTGTTATAAAATTAGTTCAAAGGTTAAACTTTAAAAAAAACCTAACAAAACATCACCCCCCCCCCCAACCACTTCATCTATATATATATCTTATGTAGGATGCTATAGATACCGAATGGTCATGTGACATTGCGTCCATGACCTTTGGCCTGGCCTGTCTCACCTGTTGCTTCATCTCATCGTAGATTCTGGTCTGGTTCCTCTCCACCTGAGACTTGAAGTCTTCCAAGGCGAGCTCTGACTGAACACATTGCTGTTGTTTCTGTTCTTTCAGTTTGGTCATCTCTTGATCTTTGTCTCTGCATTGGTGAAAACATAGGATGTGTGGGCATAAGAGAAATGTGGGGGTTAGAGAAATGCGGGGGTTAGAACATTTTCGAGTTAGAGAATGTGGGAGTAAGAGAAATGTGGGGAGTTAGGAAAATGTAAAGGTAAGAGAATTGTGGGATCAGAGAATAGTAAAGGTTGGAGAAATGTGGGAGGGTCACCAACTTACTTGGTCAGCTGTTCTAGCTGTCCCACTTTCTTATTCCAGTCAGCATCCAGCTGTTCCATTTCTTTCTTCAAACTGCGAACCTGCAAATAGATAAACATTGATGACCTCATCGGTTTGTAGGTTGCCTGTCATTATACTTACTTTATGACACTGTACCTCTGCTGCTGTCACTGCACTCTGTGACGCTGTCACTGCACTCTGTGATGCTGTCGCTGCACTCTGTGATGCTGTCACTGTACTTTGTGGTAACCTCACGTACTCTATGACACTGTCACTTTACTCTGTGGTAAACTCACACACTCTGTGACACTGTCACTGTACTCTGTGTAAACTCACACACTCTGTGACACTGTCACTGTACTCTGTGGTAAACTCATGCACTCTGTGACACTGTCACTGTACTCTGTGGTAAACTCACATAATGTGTGACACTGTCACTGTACTCTGTTGCAACCTCACTGTACTCTGTGGTTAACTCATGCACTCTGTGACACTGTCACTGTACTCTGTGGTAAATCACACACTCTGTGACACTGTCACTGTGCTCTGTGGTAAACTCACATACTCTGTGACACTGTCACTGTACTCTACTACTGTTTGCTGGAAGAATTGAATACCATTACCTGCTTGTCATGAAGATTTTCCAGATGTATTTTGTCTTGCTGGTGACTCTGTTCCAGTTCCTGGAAATATAAACATGTCTTTTTATAAAATTTATTTTTAAAATCTACTTTCAATATGGCTTTGTTTTGAAATATTATCTGTGAGTAAATCCAGCCATTACCTATCCATTTATTTGGATATTTTCTTGTACTTTGAACCTATGCTAGATTTAGAACGTTGCAACTATATGTTTGTCTGATTGAACGACCAGACAATTATTTTTCTGGGGGGATTCACAGTATTTCACACTTTGTCTGAACATTGACGAAGGTAAAAAGAGACTTGCCCTCATCTGCCGTTGTCTGTGTTCTTCTGTTTCTTTCAGGGATTTCTTGAGTTGGTCAACACGTTCTTCCAGCTCTGCTATGTTGTCTGCTGCCTGAATGTTAACAAGCCAACACTATAATGACTGTCATACGGTTGATTGAGTTATATAATATAAGCTTTTTATTTTTTTGTTACTGACCAACATAGCAACTAACCATTGTCTTAAGAAATGTTTGAGCAATGGATTTCATCCTCCAACAATTAAATGTGGGAGTCTTGTCAGAGTAAAAAAAAAACTTCTATGACTGACTTGCACTGATATTAAGGGGAGAATACAATAGGAAAAGAAAAACAAGAGTTAAGCCACTCGCTCACAGCCAGTAAATAATTAAGATAGTAATAAGTTATGCCCCTTGCTTGCCCTCAGTGAATTTTTAAGACAGTAAAGAGTTATGCACCTTGTTTGATTCAAGTGAATAGTCAAGACTGACAAAAGTTAGATACCTTGCTTGCCGCTAATGAATGCTCTTGTCTCAAGTACTCCAGACTGGCCTCTGTCTTGTTTTTCAAACTCCTGAGTTCATGTTCGTGTGTCTCAGTGGCCAGCTGGTAGTCTCTGTCTTGTTGGCACATTCTGTCCGCAGTAGGAGGCACAATGGGTCAGTTCAACAAGGCACAACGGGTCAGTTCAACAAGGCACAATGGGTCAGTTCATCAAGGCACAATGGGTCAGTTCATCAAGGCACAATGGGTCAGTTCATCAAAGCACAATGGGTCAGTTCAACAAGGCACAACGGGTCAGTTCAACAAGGCACAATGGGTCAGTTCAACAAGGCACAATGGGTCAGTTCAACAAGGCACAACGGGTCAGTTTAACAAGGCACAACGGGTCAGTTCAACAAGGCACAATGGGTCAGTTCAACAAAGCACAATGGGTCAGTTCAACAAAGCACAATGGGTCAGTTCAACAAGGCACAATGGGTCAGTTCAACAAGGCACAATGGGTCATTTCAACAAGACACAATGGGTCAGTTCAACAAGGCACAATGGGTCAGTTAACAAGGCACAATGGGTCAGTTGAACAAGGCACAACGGGTCAGTTCAACAAGGCACAATGGGTCAGTTCAACAAGGCGCAATGGGTCAGTTAACAAGGCACAATGGGTCAGTTGAACAAGGCACAATGGGTCAGTTCAACAAGGCACAATGGGTCAGTTCAACAAGGCATAATGGGTCAGTTCAACAAGGCACAATGGTTCAGTTCAACAAGGCACAATGGGTCTGTTCAACAAGGCACAATGGGTCAGTACAACAAGGCACAATGGGTCAGTTCAACGAAGCATTCTAGCAACTGTTGCAGCACTTAACGAATTGGACCTTTCACATTAACTTTACCATCAACAGTTCACTTAAACATGGAAGTTTAAAAATAATTTCAAAAGAAAAATTACTCACTCAATCATACTCACCTTTCTCTTATCTAACTACCTTTATCTTAGTCTACTCACCTTTGTGTCAGTCTACTCACCTTTGTGTCAGTCTACTCACCTTTGTGTCAGTCTACTCACCTTTGTGTCAGTCTACTCACCTTTGTGTCAGTCTACTCATCTTTGTGTCAGTCGACTCACCTTTGTGCAAGTCTACTCACCTTTGTGTCAGTCTACTCACCTTTGTGTCAGTCTACTCACCTTTGTGTCAGTCTACTCACTTTTCTGTCAGCCTACTCACAATTTGCTATTATTACTTACCTATCTCTCAGTCTACTCACTTTCTGCTCAGACTACTCACCGATCTCTCAGTCTACTCACCTTCTGCTCAGAATACTCACAGTCTACCCACCTTCTGCTCAGACTACTCACCTATCTCTCAGTCTCTCATATTCACTGTTTAGTTTTTCATATTTTGCCATAGCATCCATTTTCTCCTTCTCTACCACAGATCTCTGACTTAATGTGTTGTCCACTTCATTCATCAGTTGCTGGACTCTTGATTCCAACTCTTTGATGACAGTGGTCTGAAACATGGAAATATAACATAGTAGCATACATGCCAACCTGAGAGATCAGAAGTTGTGGTCTGAAACATGGAAATATAACATAGTAGCATACATGCCTAATGTATGTAGCTGAAACATGGAAACATACAATAATGATCTGAAACACGGAAACATATATAGCTGTCTGAAACATGGAAACATATAATAGTGGTCTGAAACATGGAAACATACAATAATGGTCTGAAACATGGAAACACACAATAATGGTCTGAAACATGGAAACATACACAAAATAAAAAGAGTAAGTTTAATGATGTGGCCAACTGACCGTGATAGTTGTCTGCTTACTGTACTCTGTCTCCATTCGCTGAAGTCTGTCATTGGTGTCATCCAGGATTTCCTGAATATTTTGTGTGTGCTGTTTCTGCAGTTCAAATTTCTCTTCCTCAAACTCAGTCAGGGCCTCATGAAGCTGACGACATTACACAAGAATGAAAGTTAGGGATTCTTGTAGAGCAACAAGTAGGATTCCATGAATTTTTTTTTTCAAAATAAAAAAGAGAGAAATCTAAACAGAGCTTGATTTAAACAGATTTGGATTTAAAAAGAGTTGGATTTAAACAGTGCTGGGTGTAAATAGAGTTGGATGTAAACAGAGTTGAATATAAACAGAGTTGGATGTAAACAGAGTTGAATATAAACAGAGTTGGATGTAAACAGAGTTGAATATAAATAGAGTTGGATGTAAACAGAGTTGAATATAAATAGAGTTGGATGTAAACATAGTTGAATATAAATAGAGTTGGATGTAAACAGAGTTGGATATAAATAGAGTTGGATGTAAACAGAGTTGAATATAAACAGAGTTGGATGTAAACAGAGTTGAATATAAACAGAGTTGGATGTAAACAGAGTTGAATATAAATAGAGTTGGATGTAAACAGAGTTGAATATAAATAGAGTTGGATGTAAACAGAGTTGAATATAAATAGAGTTGGATGTAAACAGAGTTGAATATAAATAGAGTTGGATGTAAACAGAGTTGAATATAAATAGAGTTGGATGTAAACAGAGTTGAATATAAATAGAGTTCGATGTAAACAGAGTTGAATATAAATAGAGTTGGATGTAAACAGATACAGATGTAAACAGATACAGATGTAAACAGATACAGATGTAAACAGTTATAGATATAAACAGAGTTGGATGTAAACAGAGACAGATATAAACTAAAAAAAGATGTAACAGACAGATGGAAACAGAGACACATGTACTTGGTGCTCACCCTTTTTTCAAATTCATTTTTTCTTGCCTCATGGGAATCCTCTGCCAATTTTTTCAACTCACCAATCTGTTTGTCTTTTGATTGTCTGATAAACTCTGTCTCTTTGAGTAATGTTTGCACTGTAAGGAGAAACTGAGATACATCAGAGAGAATTTAAGGAGAAACAAATCCAATGTTTTAATTCATTCATATGTTTTTTTATATTTCTTAAGAGCATACTCTTAAAGGAAATCAATGAATATGTTATCATCCAAATAACTATCACCCATTCCTGCACATTCCATCTCATATGAGAGACATTTCATTTTGCAGTTGTTCCACTAAGACAACTCTAAAGTTTTAACAGCAAAATATTTGTATTCCTATAAATGCTGGTCTCGGGCCGCTCACAAGTCTGGACGAGAAACAAGAGTTGGACAAAGTGTTACCTCCCTTTGCCAGCTAATAAATGATTTACTACAGATACATACAGAAGTCACCCAAAGGAGTCACTAAAAGGGGACAACAAAAGGAGTCAGCAAAAGGGTACACCAAAACGAGTCATCAAAAAGGGGCACCGAATGGGGCACCAAAGTGGGCACAAAAATCATCAAGCTATCCAGATATATTTAGAGGCCTATAATCGTTTAGTGATGAAATTTGTGAGTGTGTGTGTGTGTGCGTGCATGTGTGTGTACGTTATCAGGATCCATATCAGGCGCAGATTTTCCTTGGTCACCATGAATGTTAGGTCATATCAACAGTTGGGAGGACAATAGACATGTGTGGAGACACTGAGCCTTACCGTGAGGATGCCTGGAATCTCTTATAGCTTGGTTACATCCCAGGTGGCCTAAATCCCAGTTGACCCCCATCCCAGGTGACCCCCATCCCAGGTGGCCCACATCCCAGGTGGTCTACATCTCAGGTGGCCCATATCCCATGTGGCCTATATCCCAGGTGGCCCACATCCCAGGTGGCCCATGTCCCAGGTGGCCCACATCCCAGGTGGTCTACATCTCAGGTGGCCCATATCCCATGTGGCCTATATCCCAGGTGGCCCACATCCCAGGTGGCCTATGTCCCAGATGGTCCATGTCCCAGGTGGCCTACATGCCAGGTGGTCTACATCCCAGGTGGCCTACATCCCAGGTGGCCCATGTCCCAGGCAAATATCACAAGATGTCAATTTGCCATGGTTGATCAATTAAAAATGACGAGGGTTTTACAAACTCCACCAAGGCCGGTCCCAAGCCCGGGTGCAAAAGGAGGAGGGTTGGCGTAAGGCCAGCTACCTCAACAGTAAAAACAAATTGCTACAGAAACGTCAACAAGAAAAAACCAACCAATTTCAGCCCTGAGAAGAGAGGATTCTTCTTCTCCAAGAAGAGCTATGAAGCCTTGAGGCCAATCCCAGGCTATACTGGAAGCCTCAAAGCCGAAGACCCTCCTTTCTAAGGAAACAAACATAGGCACGTGGAACGTCAGAACCATGTATGAAACAGGGAAAGCAGCGTAGGTGGCAGCAGAAATGTCATCTTACAAACTTAAACTGCTTGGCATCTGTGAAACAAGAGGGATACAAGCTGGACAAACAACTTTGGCCTCTGGAGAAATGCTAATGTATTCGGGGCATGAGGAGGAAAATGCTCCGCACACGCAAGGAGTCACTTTGATAAAGAAAAGATGGAGGTGGATAGGGCATACGCTCCGAAACCCCCCAGGTAGCATCACCAGACAATGCCTAACATGAAACCCTCAAGGAAAAAGAAAGATAGGAAGCCCTAAGAATACATGGAGACGCGAGCTAGAGGCAGAAACGTAAAATATGGGATACACCTGGAAGCAATAGGAAAGGAAAGCACAAGGACCGTGATGAGTGGAAAATTCTTGTAGATGCCCCATGCCCCAGAAGGGGCAGAAAGGAATAAGTAAGTAAGAGGGTTCTAAAACTCTTTCTCAGTTTCCCCATGACATCTCTTACACAGTTACCAACCTTTTTTCTCCAGCTTATCGATGGTGTCCTCCAGGTCTCTGCTTTTATCTCTGTACGTTTTCTTGACGTCTTCAATCTCAGCATTTTTACGTTCTAGTATCTGTTGTTTGTGATGATAACATAATAATAATATACAAATTCATTCAAAATGAAGAGTGAAGTCAACTTTCTTCTCTTCAACAAGTGGTCCAAGTTTTTGATTGAGACAAGTAAAGAATATTTTCATCATCAGTTTTGTGCATTTCTTTAAGAGAGAGAGAAAGAAGTGATGATTAAAAACAACAACTGAATCAACATGATGAATGATGTGATCGTTATCTAATGATGTTACCCTCACCTTCTTAACATCAACATCATGTTTCTGTTGCAGTTTCAGTTTCTCTTCATGAAATTTGGCTTCAATCATTTTGGCCCTGACAGTGACCTGTTATGAGAAGGAGTCTACTGTCATTGTCTTGGCAAATTTGTTAAAATTCTGAGTTCTGTGGTCAAGACCCCTTCAGTATTTTTGAAATTGTTGTCTAGATTCACTGTAACACATCATCACTCTGCACCTACACAACTCTCGTCACGTGAACCAACATCATCTAATATTGTACACAACTCCCATCATGGGGACTAACATCATCTTATATTGTACAAAACTCCCATCATGGGAACCAACATCATCTAATATTGTACACAACTCCCATCATGGGAACTAACATCATCTTATATTGTACACAACTCCCACCATGGGAACCAACATCATCTAATATTGTACACAACTCCCATCATGTGAACTAACATCATCTAATATTGTAAACTACTCCCATCATGGGGACTAACATCATCTTATATTGTACACAACTCCCATCATGGGAACCAACATCATCTAATATTGTACACAACTCCCATCATGGGAACTAAAATCATCTAATATTGTACACTACTCCCATCATGGGGACTAACGTCATCTAATATTGTACAAAACTCCCATCATGGGAACTAACATCATCTAATATTGTACAAAACTCCCATCATGGGAACTAACATCACTTTGAGTGAAAACTCAACTAGAACACCTGGGCTACTGAACATCTGGGATATCGTACACCAACTACTGGGCTACTGTTCATCAACTTCTGGGATACTCCCAGAACTAAAGTTGACTCCCCATCTCAAATCAAAATCAACTGTTGTGAACTAAAAACTCAACTAACTCTCCTCTCTATCCCAAACACCTTATATCCCAAACACCTTATATCCCAAACACCTTATATCCCACACACCTTATATCCCAAACACCTTATATCCCAAACACCTTATATCCCACACACTTTATAACGCACACACCTTATACCACATACACCTTATATCACACACACCTTATATACCAAACACTTTATATCCCACACACCTTATATCCCATACACTTTATAACGCACACACCATATACCCCATACACCTTATACTCCACACACCTTATACCCCACACACATTATACCCCACACACCTTATATCCCACACACTTTATAACGCACACACATTATACCCCACACACATTATACCCCACACACCTTATATCCCACACACTTTATAACGCACACACATTATACCCCACACACATTATACCCCACACACCTTATACCCCATACACCTTATATCCCACAAACTTTATAACGCACACACCTTATACCCCCACACATTATACCCACACACCTTATATACCACACACCTTATACCCCACACATCTTATATCCCACACACCTTATAACGCACAGACCTTATAACGCACACACCTTATACTCCACACACCTTATATTCCACACACTTTATATCCCACACACCTTATATCCCACACACCTTATACACCACACACCTTATATCCCACACACTTTATATCCCACACATTATATCCCACACATTATATCCCACACACATTATATCCCACACACTTTATATCCCACACACCTTATATCCCACACACCTTATATCCCACACACCTTAATCCCACACACCTTATATCCCACACTTTATATCCCACACACCTTATATCCCACACACTTTATATCCCACACATTATACCCCACACACCTAATATCCCACACACCTTATATCCCATACACCTTATAACCCACACACCATATACCCCATACACCTTATACCCCACACACCTTATACCCCACACACATTATACCCCACACACCTTATATCCCACACACCTTATAACGCACACACCTTATACCCCACACACATTATACCCCACACACCTTATATCCCACACACTTTATAACGCACACACATTATACCCCACACACATTATACCCCACACACCTTATACCCCATAACACACACCTTATATCCCACACACCTTATATCCCACACACCTTAATCCCACACACCTTATATCCCACACTTTATATCCCACACACCTTATATCCCACACACTTTATATCCCACACATTATATCCCACACACCTAATATCCCACACATTATATCCCACACACCTTATATCCCACACATTATATCCCACACACTTTATATCCCACACATTATATCCCACACACCTTATATCCCACACACCTTATATCCCACGCACCTTATATCCCACACACCTTATATCCCACACACCTTATATCCCACACATTATATCCCACACACCTTATATCCCACACATTATATCCCACACAACTTATATCCCACACACCTTATATCCCACACACCTTATAACCCACACATTATATCCCACACACCTTTTATCCCACACATTATATCCCACACATTATATCCCACACACCTTATATCCCACACACCATATCCCACACACACCATATCCCACACACCTTATATCCCACACACACCATATCCCACACACCCCATATCCCACACACACACACACCTTATATCCCACACCTTCTATCCCACACACCTTATATCCCACACATTATATCCCACACAACTTATATCCCACACACCTTATATCCCACACACCTTATCACCCACACATTATATCCCACACACCTTTTATCCCACACATTATATCCCACACATTATATCCCACACACCTTATATCCCACACACTATATCCCACACACCTTATATCCCACACACCTTATATCCCACACACCTTATATCCCACACACCTTATATCCCACATACCTTATATCCCACATACCTTATATCCCACACACCTTATATCCCACACACCTTATATCCCACACACCTTATATCCCACACATTATATCCCACACCTTATATCCCACACACCTTATATCCCACACACTATATCCCACACACCTTATATCCCACACACCTTATATCCCACACACCTTATATCCCACACACCTTATATCCCACACACCTTATATCCCACATACCTTATATCCCACACACCTTATATCCCACACACCTTATATCCCACACACCTTATATCCCACACATTATATCCCACACATTATATCCCACACACCTTATATCCCACACACCTTATATCCCACACACCTTATATCCCACACACCTTATATCCCACACACCTTATATCCAACACACCTTATATCCCACACACCTTATATCCCACACACCTTATATCCCACACGCCTTATACCCCACACACATTATACCCCACACACCTTATACCCCACACACCTTATACCCCACACACATTATATCCCACACACTTGTTTATCACACTTTTTCCTTTCATCCAGTCACAATTAAGACACAACTACAACTCATGACACACAAACTCACACTAACCACAGTGATTCACATACCGTTGGCAGTCTTGGGCGTAATCATTGCAGCATAAGCATTGAAAACCACTGACTTACAGCCCACTTCATATGATTAACTCTCATTGAACATCCCCTATACCCAACTACAACTGATTACATCCCATTGAACATTCCCATGACTTACACCCCGATGCATCTTATTACCTATCCTTGATTACCTCCCTACACCCAATGCATCTTGTTATCTCCCACTTAACATCCTTCTATACCCCAATGCATCCTGATACCTCCTATTGAACAAAAATTTCACAGATGATGGCCTACCTCTCTGTCAGCTGGCTTTAGGTAAGTTGTATCATCATAAAATGTTGTACCTTGTGAAGAATTAAGAAAATTATACTGGAGACGACGACCTATCTTAATCTTTTCAGTTTTCAGAAAACTAAAACAATTAATGTTTGACATTATTGAAAAAGTGATAAAAATTGTCTACTCTCTATTTAAAAAAATCCACATTCTGAAAATTAATATAAATCTGTTTGCCCTATATGCTTAAATTAAAGAATTCCCATTACCTTTAGGCAGTGAGTATGTTGATGTAGCCGTAGATGAGAGGGGCTTGATCCAGTCAGTCTCATTAGTAGTCACCTGGAATACACAATAAGGCGCTAGCACATTTGGTAACTGATGATAAAGCTGGGAGTGATGATTTAAGTATCATGTGATTATCGATCTCTGCCTAATGTCAGCGGTTGAACGTTTAATGTGTCTTTGTTTATCTCACAGATTCTCAACAGAAGGAAAGTGGTGGCTTGGAGGCTTGTGAGTTTTTAGGGTGCTACTAGATTTTGAAAAAAAACAACAACTAATTTTTAAAAATAATTAAAAGAAAAGATTTAAATATTTCAATGTCACAAGAATATTATTTGGAATGCACCATTTAAGCCATCTTTTGAAGGGGTACTGTATACATCGACATAATGACTTTATTTTTTGACAAGTGAATTTCTAACCAGAACTTCAAAAGAAGTAATTATATACAGATAAATTAAATAAAAAATATGATCTAGATTAAATATTCAAAAAATTCACACATCACATTCAGTACACATTCTTAGATTATTGTCATAAATTTATTAATTTTTAAAATAAAATTAGAATTATTATGTAACCTAAAATATTTTTCATACATTTGTTAACATTTTATAAAAAATATTAATATCATAAAACAGATTTTTAACATTTGTAGTTTTTGGATGTGAGGATTGTGGTATTTTTGTTTTACAGAAATTATCAAAAATATCTTACTGCTAAAGAAAATTAGTGAACAACTACATTATATTTGGTAAAATTCACTTTTTTCTTTATCATAAATTTAATACTAATGTTTTTATTAAATTTGTCATATGTTTGAAATGGAGTACAATGCTAGCATTTAGGCAAAACTATGAAAAGCATTTGAACAGAACACACCCTCAGTGATGTGAGATCAAGCAGAAACAAAAGCTAAATAATTCATCTTAGAGATGACACATCTTAAATTGTATGTTAAGGTGAGAACATGATAGTGCCTCAAAGATGACACATCTTAAATTGTATGTTACAGTGACAACATGTTAGGGCCTCAAAGATGACACATCTTAAATTGTATGTTAAGGTGAGAACATGATAGTGCCTCAAAGATGACACATCTTAAATTGTATGTTACATTGAGAACATGTTAGTGCCTCAAAGATGACACATCTTAAATTGTATGTTACAGTGACAACATGTTAGTACCTCAAAGATGACACATCTTAAATTGTATGTTACAGTGACAACATGTTAGTACCTCAAAGATGACACATCTTAAATTGTATGTTACATTGAGAACATGTTAGTGCCTCAAAGATGACACATCTTAAATTATATGTTACATTGAGAACATGTTAGTGCCTCAAAGATGACACATCTCAAATTGTATGTTACATTGAGAACATGTTAGTGCCTTAAAGATGACACATCTTAAATTGTATGTTACATTGAGAACATGTTAGTGACTCAAAGATGATACATCTTAAATTGTATGTTACATTGAGAACATGTTAGTGCCTCAAAGATGACACATCTTAAATTGTATGTTACAGTGAGAACATGTTAGTGCCTCAAAGATGACACATCTTAAATTGTACATTACAGTGACAACATGTTAGTGCAGATTTCTAAAAGCTTTAATTGGTATACAGTGTGAAAGCCTCAAACTGGTCATACAGTTAAAATACAAATACAAGCATAAAATGATCAGCTACATTGGATCAAATTAAAAAGTCCCATGTAAGTGCCAAAGAGCACATTTATTAATACATCTTCAGTTTTAGAATGTTCATTTAGGTGAGAATCTGATTACAGATAAAAAGGTGTTTTGTTAGCTACATTAGAAATTTGATAAGTGAATATTTTCAACAACAAAGAGTGACATATTTATTTTAATGAAATTATAGAAGTTATACATACACATATATCTCCAAGTTAAGCCATAAGAAACCAGATATGTTGGTCAGTGATATCTAAACTTGGTCATTTCGAGGACCAGCTATTTTATTTCAAATTTTAAAAACACTAAGTATTCATTTTGATATCATTTTAGAGATGTTCATATCTCAAGCTATGTTTATTTCCTATCTTTAATGTCCCCTTGAATCGAGTCCATCAAAAACAGCCTGGCCCATGGCCATTGTGTAGAGAAGTCTTAGTTCTCTTTGATCTTGAACACATTTAGTTAAACTTCATGGCCAATAAATACCATAAAGGAAGCAAAGTTATTGACATGTCAGCAAATAAAAAATTGTGAAGGGTGATAGCATTTGCATGTTTTTATTGCATATTATCAGATATAAAACAACCTACAAGTTCTGTTGACATAAATTGTGCAATATTTACTATATATAGATCTAGAAGAGGTTTATAATATAATGCAAAATTTAGCAAGAGAAATTAGGAAATACTTTTGGGTTAGAGAGTAACATGAGAGGATTAAATATACACAATTAATTAGACTTACATCCCTTGTTTTCTCATTGTCTCTAGCATCCTTGCCCCTGACTTCTGGGTAAATACATATGGGGTTGAAAGGTCACAGAGAAGAATATTTCAATTTTATACTTATCTGCCTATCAATTATTTTTAAAAATACTTAAACCTCAAATGAAATATCATTAAACGTGTCATAAAACATTGAGACCAAAAACTACATCATGAAATTTAACTTGAAAAAAAGTGAAAACACTTTAGAGAAGTTGGCTATTTGTGACGGATCAAAAAGATTTTAATCTTTCTGAAAACTCAGTTATTTTTGTCTTTAAGTATCTCTTTATTATCCTGTTCGTTCACTTCAAGCTTTAACAAACCTTGTTCAACAATTTCCTTCACACAGCTCGGACACACACCTTCATTTATTCTTCTATAATATCACCACCTGATTCATATTAAACAGCCCACTAACAGATCTAAATCATTTTTTTAATTTGAGATGTCAAGCTATTTTTTTTTCTTGATTTGAAATTCCAGTTTTTGTAAAGTATTAAAAAGTAAATACGCAGGTACGCTTTAATTTTAACAGGAAACAGTTTGCAGAATGTCCCTAACCTGGCAGATGTCTTTTTTCTCTGTCCCCGATTGGAGAACGTTGACTTTTGTGTCGGCGGCGTGACGGTGAGGGTGACCTTTTCATCTCGAGACTCATGTCGTCCTATGTGAAACATAACAAACTAACACAAAACCCATTTCTGTTGGAGCCTTACTTTGAGGATTGAGCTCTAGATTTACTTTCATTTTATAAATTTGTTTACATGACTGAGGCAGTCACTGACTGAAAATTTTACGACAGATGCAACTAGCAAATGAGAGTACACAGGGCTGGAATAAAGTGCCATTGATCTTTGGATAGAAATACCACAGAACACACACATTTATATACATAGAACACATACAATTAAAACTTCAAGCTTGAATTAGAAGATAAATATAGATCTACTAGTTGTGTGTATGTGTGTTTTAATGTAGTGTATAAGCAGTCAAGGAGGAAAGAAGGGAATGACTTGGAGGTTGCAGTCAAGGAGGAAAGAAGGGAATGGCTTGGAGATTGCAGTCAAGGAGGACAGAAGGGAGTGGCTTGGAGTGTGCAGTCAAGGAGGAAAGAAGGGGGTGGGTTGGAGGTTGCAGTCAAGGAGGAAAGAAGGGAAAGGCTTGGAGGTTGCAGTCAAGGAGGAAAGAAGGGAAAGGCTTAGAGGTTGCAGTCAAGGAGGAAAGAAGGGAATGGCTTGGAGGAGGCAGTCAAGGAGGAAAGAAGGGAATGGCTTTGAGGTTGCAGTCAAGAAGGAAAGAAGGGAGTGGCTTGGAGCTTGCAGTCAAGGAGGAAAGAAGGGAATGGCTTGGAGGTTGCACATAATTTTCAGGTTGGATAATAATTTAAATTAGAATCACCTTAAATCTCACATATCAAATACCTTCAATCTCACATATGCTAAGGTTGCCCAAACTCTAAATTTAACAAATATTTAAAATTATCTGTTTCAAAATGAAGCATTACATTAAATTACATATAAGATATTTTGGTCACAAACATAATATTAGAATTTAGCACAGCAACTTAACAAACCACATCATCAGAGAGTAGATTTTGCCCAACCCAAATCTCTAGATCATCACAACATATGTAAGTTAGCATAGATTAGCTTGCATTATGGCAACACAAGCAAATATGTTGGGATATGTTTTTTTAAAAACCGTAGCTCCATGTTTGTCTGTGAAAAGCAGACATCTTGATTAGCACAATATCAAACTTATGTAAGTGTTTCACTGACACAAAGCAAGGCGGGGGGGGGTGGGGGGGGGGAGAGAAGGGAGAAAGGTTGTAGATTTAAACTTACAGCTGAGTATCCTTTGGTGTGGACAAAGTCAGAGTGTCTGATAGGAGACAGAGATGGATCCTTCTCTACAGTGTGCCCCATGCTGCTGTGTGGCCTGTGGTAAATCAAAGATGAACCTGACATCTTACATTTAGGATATTTTCAGGTTCTTAAGATCAGAAATATAAAAAACATTGTACAAAAATGCACTGTAATAAAGCCTAGCTGACATTTGCACACATCACTTTAATAAAGACTTAGATGACTTTTCTTCACAGCACTGTAAAGAGATTCCATTCTCAAAGATACAATCATGACAAAATTGAGGATTTTTAACAACTTTACTTGGTCAATGATATGGAAAGCCTTCACCAGAGTCTCAGGCTGGATAAAAACAGGTTCAGTGGTGAAACAATCACACCTATTATATAGTGAGCATAATAAACAAAGCCGCTGGTTGTTTAGGACTCTAACCCAATGAAGTCATCACGAAAGGGAAGTGATTAATGGATGCACACAGAGTCATTAATGGATGCACACAGAGGCATTGATGGATGCACACAGAGGCAGTGATGGATGCACACTGAGGCAGTGATGGATGCACACTGAGGCAGTGATGGATGCACACAGAGGCAGTGATGGATGCACATTGAGGAAGTGATGGATGCACACAGAGGCAGTGATGGATGCACACTGAGGCAGTGATGGATGTGGAGGAAGGGAGGGATGCAAGCAGAGGAAGGGAGGGAAGCAAGGCATTGATGGATGCACACAGAGGTAGTGATGGATGCACACAGAGGCAGTGATGGATGCACACTGAGGCAGTGATGGATGCACACTGAGGCAGTGATGGATGCACACTGAGGCAGTGATGGATGCACATTGAGGAAGTGATGGATGCACACCGAGGCAGTGATGGATGCACACCATTGATGGATGCACACAGAGGTAGTGATGGATGCACACTGAGGCAGTGATGGTTGCACACCATTAATGGATGCACACAGAGGTAGTGATAGATGCACATTGAGGCACTGATGGATGCACACCGAGGCAGTGATGGATGCACACCATTGATGGATGCACACAGAGGTAGTGATGGATGCACACCGAGGCACTGATGCATGCACACAGAGGCAGTGATGGATGCTCACAGAGGCATTGATGGATGCAGACCGAGGCAGTGATGGATGCAGACCGAGGCAGTAATGGATGCACACTGAGGCATTGATGGATGCACATATGAATGGAAACATATGAAAATGAAAAGTAATCATAAAAACATTTAGTAATCTGGCAATGTGGAGGTGAACAGCATTTTTTTTATCTAAGGGTTGTATGTGAACATCTAGAGCTCAAAACATGGATTCCAAATTCACATCCAGAATTTGACTTTCCAACCACCGCATCATATACTTATAGATAACGGAGTGTTTGTAAAAATATAATTGAAGTTGTTCCTGACCTTTCTCGAAACTCTCCAGCACTTGACACCCATGTGGATGTGGCCGCCGGGTTCCCAAGTGACTTCGGAAATATGGATGAGCCGATGGTGTCTCCCAGTTCACCTTCTACCCAGTCAGGTAGTCTGTCAGTCTAAGAACATTATACAAGTCAATCATACAATCTGTCACTCTAAGATGATTGTACAAGTCAATCAGACAATCTGTCAAAGATCATTATACAGGTCAATCAGACAAGCTGTCAGTCTAAGATCATTGTACAAGTCAATCAGACAATCTGTCAGTCTAAGATCATTGTACAAGTAAGTCAGACAATCTGTCAGTCTAAGATGATGGCACAAGTCAATCAGACAATCTGTCAGTCAAGATCATTGAAAAGTCAATCAGACAATCTGTCAGTCTAAGATCATTGCACAAGTCAATCAGACAATCTGTCAGTCTAAGATCATTGTACAAGTAAATCAGACAATCTGTCAGTCTAAGATCATTGTACAAGTCAATCAGACAATCTGTCAGTCTAAGATCATTGTACATGTCAATCAGACAATATGTCAGTCTAAAATCATTGTACAAGTCAATCAGACAATCTGTCAGTCTAAGATCATTGTACAAGTAAGTCAGACAATCTGTCAGTCTAAGATCATTGTACAAGTCAATCAGACAATCTGTCAGTCTAAGATCATTGTGCAAATCAATAACTAAATAGATGTAGCACTCACTGTTCCATGTGTTACTTACAAAAGTGAGATACAGGTACATTTTTTTAAATGTGAGAGAAACATTGATCACTATTATCTCAGCCAACAGCAAACAATCACCAATATGGGATTTAGGTTTAATAAAGTAAATTCACTTACCACATATGCCCAGGAGGAAGCAATGTGCCATATATGCCAGGGAGGTAGCAATGTGTCATATATGCCAAGGAGGTAACAATGTGCCATATATGCAAGGGAGGAACCAACATGCCAACTATGCCCGGGAGGAGGCAATGTATCATATATGCCAGGAGGTAGCTATATGTCATATATGCCAGGGGTATCAATGTGCCATGTATCCCAGGGAGGTAGCAATGTGCTATGTAACCCAGGGAGTAAGCAATGTGCCATGTATGCCAGGGAGGTAGCAATGTGGCATGTATCCCGGGAGGTAGCAATGTGCCATGCATTCCAGGGAGGTAGCAATGTGCCATGTATCCCAGGGAGGTAGCAATGTGCCATGTAACCCAGGGAGTTAGCAATGTGCCATGTATGCCAGGGAGGTAGCAATGTGGCATGTATCCCAGGAAGTAGCAATGTGCCATGTATCCCAGGGAGGTAGCAATGTGACATGTATCGGTCCCTCCATCGTTACACGGTTGTATCCCAGGGAGGTAGCAATGTGCCATGTAACCCAGGGAGTTAGCAATGAGCCATGTATGCCAGGGAGGTAGCAATGTGGCATGTATCCCAGGAGGTAGCAATGTGCCATGTATCCCAGGGAGGTACCAATGTGCCATGTATCCCAGGGAGGTAGCAATGTGCCATGTATCCCAGGGAGGTAGCAATGTACCATGTATCCCAGGGAGGTAGCAATGTGCCATGTATCCCAGGGAGGTAACAATGTGCACTGGCTAGATAATAACATCCGAGGAATACAAAGGTGGTAAATAACTTACCATATATGCAGGCAGAGGTTTCAATGGACCAGTTTCTGGCTTCTGATCAAAGGGGGCAGATATGGAACCTCTTTTTAACATCTGTAGCATCAACAAGGCATAAGTGTTTCTAGTCTTCCTGTGTGAAAGTCAAGTCTCTTGCCAGTTAGAAGGTATGTGAAACACCTTTGGTAAAAATGCTTTAAATGTTTAATTTGCTGTAAAATTTCACAAAATAAACTCAACATACAAGAAAAAAAAAGAACAACATTTAATCAAATGTTAATTTTAAATTCCAATCAAAATATTAAGTGATAATTTTCCTATTTATATCGTGAGTGGATAGATGGGAATTGAAGAGTATTCTTGTTAGATTAAGCTATATCTGCAGTTTAAGTTTGTATTTGCTAGAATATTATAACAGGTTTTGTGTAATGTAATATTTTTTAAAGATGTGATAATGCAAAATATTGAATGTTGGCTAAAAGAAAAGGACACGAAGTTTATCACAAAAGAGAATGTCTGAGAGCACATCATACCTGGCAGTATTTCTTGACCTACTGGGCTAACACAACTTACCTGGAAATAGTTCCTCACATACTGGGCTTACACAGCTTATCTGGTATTATTTCCAGACCTGCTGAGCTCACACAGCTTACCTGGCAGAATTTCCTGTCCTACTGGGCTCACACAACTTACCTGGCAGTATTTCTTGACCTACTGGGTTCATGCAGCTTACCTGGCAGCATTTCCTGACCTACTAGGCTCATGCAGCTTACCTGGCAGTATTTCCTGACCTACTGGGCTCACACAACTTACCTGGCAGTATTTCCTGACCTACTTGGCTCACACGGCTTACCTGGCAGTATTTCCTGACCTACTGGGCTCACACAACTTTTTAATCCACACAGCAAACTTCTGTCTATCTGTTCAACATTAATAAATGTATGTTAAAAATTGTGTAAAATATATTGATGTATCTTTACCTCATTTATAAAAAAAAACATACGTATTTGTCAGATTTTACCAGGTGATTAACAGGTTAGAGCATAAATCATTTAGATATGAGTGAAGATTAACCTGTCTTATGTGGCAACTTGAGAACAAAAGGTTTCATATCTGCCAGATGTTTGTCGAATTCTCGATCAAGCTGGAAGCCCATTTCCCCATCACTCTCCATGTCGAAGGAGTTACCAAAAAGTTGGTCTTCTTTGGTTTATATAAAAAGCTTTTTTTAAAAACCGATGTTGACTTTAGAATTCACATTACATGAGACAGCATTGAGCAGTTTGACTTATACATCACTTGAAGGGAGGTCACTTTGCCAAGCTGGAGTACTGGTTTTAACCTGTTGAATAAAATGTTTAATTTAGAAGGAATGTTCACATACAAAATGAATCTCCTCTTTTCTAGATATAAACATTGCTACCACTTCATTAGGATGCTACAATCTAAACTGATGTATCCATAGAATTGTTGAGCTGTGTGACTGGTCAATGATAATGTCCTAAACTTTGAACACACAAACTCTTGACTGAAGTTTGTAGAAAATGATCATTTTACCTGCCTTTGTTGTTTTAGCACATGCCCTTATTGAAAAAACACAAAGCAGTATAAAACCAGATTTCTGAAACTCATAACCAGTTTGCCAAAAGAATGGTGTTAAATCCATATTTTGAAACTGAAACTACGTTGCTACTCAACCTGAACTCAATATGTAAATGAACTGAACCTGAACTTGGAAACAGAAGGTTCGTTTCCCATATCTAGTCAGAATTTGTCAATTTTTTAAAATAAGTAAAGCATTTTAGCCAGATTTCATGCAAAATTAAATTAAAAATGGATACAAGATATATTTCCATTAGTAAGATAAACAAGACAAAAGATGAAATATACAGATAGTTAATTCTTTCGCTGCGGAATTTTATTATCGAAAAAAAAAAATTTTTTCAAAAGCAACAAAGAGTGAGAGGTTGGGTTTATTAAAAAATATTTAAAATATTATTTTTTTGTTTATAAGACTAAACTAGGTATCAAATGAAAGGTAATGGAAAGGACTTATTTCTTCAGTTTAAATAAAATAAGTTACAGAATAGAACCATAACATGTGAAAACATTTTATGCTAAACCATTTTTTCCCCAAACCTTATGATGTAGGCATACCTCTTTTTCCCTTCTATAACTCAAATCCTCTAAAACTTCTTCTATTGGAATCATGTGATGGATTGAAATATAAATCATCTTCACTATCAAAAGAAATAGTATTAAAAAAATCAAAGCTTTTTGAGCTGTTAATCGTCTAGGAAACTTACTCAACTACTAGGGCCCAGGGTAGCCATAGCAACAGTAGAAACAAATAATGAAGAAAATCATTAAAATTATGTTTCAAATGACAATAAATAAACCTTGGTTTCGCTTATAAACAATGAACTACCACTCTTCTATGCAAAAGTCTTATTTAAAAATAGCTCTTAAAAAGTTTAACTGAGAAACAGCAACGAAACAAACATGATATTGAAACAACGCAGAGCACGTTGGTCCGTGCTTTTTAGAGCAGCGGATGAACGCACTAAGTGTTGCGCAACAGCAAAAGAGTTAAAAGATAAAATTATGTCATGCCTCATTGAAACAAATAGGTAATAAAAATTTTATTTTTTGATAGATTTTTATATGCAGCTTTGTTTAGTGCTGACTTGTGCTAAAGATTTCACCATGGCATATTCAAGCAACAGCAGTGAGATAACAAGAAACATTTAAATGCATATCTGATTTAGATTTTTATTGAAGATTATGGGGCATTGTCTTGGCAAATCATACCTTCAAAAGTCCTTAAAAGGACTTCACTTTTTAAAGAATAACTGGAAAGTTTTTGTTACAAATGTGTGCTTTTGGTATAAAATAAGCTCATTTTCAGTAGTAAATATTTCTTTTATTATTTTTATGTTATGCTTTAAAGTGACATATATTCAATATCTATAAAAAAAAAAAAACTACAGTCAATAGGGGAAAATTGAGGCCACTTTTTGATTCAACAGGCCAAATATAAAGATAAACAAGTCTAACATTTGAAGGACCAAATTTGGTGTTGGCCAGTGTTAATTTAAAAGCATTTTAGCAGTGAAAAAAATCCTTGACCTCTTATGAAATTCATGACTTCTTGAGAGACTTAAGACTCAAGTAGTATAAAAAAAAACGATCTTCCAATATGCAATTTCTATTGTATTCTTTATGAAGTCTTATGTTGTCTATAATATGTGATTATGTGTGCTTAAAAATACAATAAACAGTTCTAAGTAATATCACACAAATAACAAATATATATAAAAATATTTAGACTTAACATAAGATATAAGTTATGAATATCTATTATAATTCAGTAATATCATTGTGAAAGAGTTTAAAAATCATTGCCTTATCATTATTATCATAATTATCAGCCCTTAATAATAGTTTTTATTTTTAAAATCCCCCTCCTCCAAAAAAAAAATAATTGATATTTGGTGAAAATATTTTAAAATATTGATTAGATATATTTGTGAAGATAAACTACCGGTACTTTATATAAGGACAGACCTAAGCCTAAGATTTTTAAAGTAAAGATTGATATTGACTTGAATTGACATGTCCACACATGTCAATATTTTATAATTGTATAAAATTAAAAAGTAGTCCTTTTCAGTGAACTTTGTTTTATTTTCATAGACTTTTAAATTTAGCTCTGAATTTTAAGTGTCACATATGTCAATATTTTATGTTAGATGCTAATACAGTTACATTATAATGTTATTTTTACAAATTAAACTAAGTCCCGATTCTGAAATGGTCGTTTTGATATCTTTTTTTGCGATTGGGCTTCTGCAGATTAGTACAATTCTTCGAATTGCGTTGTAAAATTTTCAAGAATAAATTTTAATACCTTTCATATCAACAGCTGATTAACATGCAATACTGTTGGCCTCAGCAGTTTTTTTTAAATTTTCGACGAGGCAAAGACAATGTTTTAAATTGTTAAACAAATTGTTAAACAAATATCATTTTATAACACTTGTCGGCCATGTTGTTTAACATGGAAACACATAAAAGAAGAGTAGTCTCCCCCGTATAAATAAAGATAAAAGTGGCCAGAGCTATACTATACTTCAAATTAATTGTAATTATCTTAGTTTATTTAATAATATAATTAACCGGCGTTAAATAAAGAAACACTTTGGTCACTTGAACAAAGTTTGACCTCCCCAGTCCCCACGCCGAAAAAAAAAAAATGGATCAGAGTTAATTCTCAAACTTCGCTTTATCTTTTTTTTTCGCTTCTTCTTTAAATTAAAAGTAAAGCCATATCAGTAAAAGTAAAGTAGCTTGATCTTCGAAAATTAAGCGAAAACGACATTGTGTCAACATTAAAATTGATTTTAAAAATGACGTATATGCTGAGGGTCGTGTCGAGGAATAGCGGCGCACTGAGTAAAGCCTAAAATTCGTCAATTTATATATATATATATATATATATAAAAAGCCAAACTCATTGTGCCACCCCCCCCCCCACACCCCCTTCTTGTTAAAATAAGTCCTCGGTATAACAATGACAGAAGAAAAACAAATTAAATGAAGGTCAGGAGGTCAATGTATTTAAGAAGTGTAACATTTACTTAGAAAAAAAAGCCCAACTCATTGTGCCACCCCCCCCCCCCCACACCCCCTTCTTGTTAAAATAAGTCCTCGGTATAACAATGACAGAAGAAAAACAAATTAAATGAAGGTCAGGAGGTCAATGTATTTAAGAAGTGTAACATTTACTTAGAATTGCCCAATCACATCGTATTAGGTATCAATGAAAAGATTTATTTCTCAGAATTTAGAATAATATAGCTTCCTGTCACTTACGAAAGTCACCGAACACTTCAATCAGCGATAAATCGTGGTCAAAACGGTGTTTTGTGACCTAATTATAGGTTCACCTCAATTCGGACGCACCCACCTTGAACTTATAATAAAGCAGCCATTTGGATTGGTTACATGTGTGGACAATTGACGTGTGAACAGTTATACTTTTATGAAATTCATCTGCACTGTAAATAGGCATTATTTTTTGTTTTCAATTTGGTGTAATTTAGCCCCCCCCCCTTTGAGATGGTGTCACTCGGTGCGGACCGCACCCCCTAGCTACGCCACTGGCATTACTTATTGCTATGGTCGTGAAGGACATGTGAATTCGTTAATTCATTATCAAGGTCGTATCCAAGACGATTTGGCGCCAGCAGGAAGTTTCCCATTCATTCGGCCCTGTTTATATCACAGACATCAGTGGAGTTATCGAAAAATGATTTGTCATCACTTCATCACCTGAGTTTCCGAGATCACGACCACCATTAGTAAAATATAGTCGCTTCTTCGTTATGCCCTAAGCTGGGGTGACGACGACTGAACGCCTCTAAGTCAGAGTCCCGCATCTCGGAGGTGTCACATGGAGTTTGCCTCTTCGTGGTGTGCCAGACCAGTAGGGAGGATCTCCTCCCGAAGCCAAAAACCACGGCCACTTACATGACTCCCAAAGCAACGGGAGTAACGCAATAACATGATGACTTGTTGCCGTTAATGGATATGAGGCCTGGGTGGCGGTTAAAACCCTTGCCGATGATTTTAGCTACGCGGCCCCGATAACGCAATAACATGATGACTTGTTGCCGTTAATGGATATGAGGCCTGGGTGGCGGTTAAAACCCTTGCCGATGATTTTAGCTACGCGGCCCCGAGAAAGCCGCTCCTAGGCGACCGTTTCGTCCCAACTGTCGTTCCGACCAAATAAGTGGGGGGGGGGTAGGTAACTCAACAACTTTCCCCCGGAAAGGAAGCAAAGCCGTTCTGACCCAAGGAGAGTGGACCACAGACGCTTTAAACGCAGCGTATTCAGTCGACCAGACGTCCCCCAGACTAGGGGGGGGGAGGTTCCCGACGCGCTTCCACACGGTCTGGCGGCGGGGAGACCCGGCCTCTGGTCCGTGTGTAGGTGTGCCTGTTTGGAAGGGGGGGGGGGTATAAAGAGCTCGCGCTCAACGACCCACCGACGCCATCTCCAATGTGACGTTATGCCCTAAGCCATTTATGTTTGTAAAAAAGACGTTCAGGTAAGATGACATTATCTTCAGTCAGTCATCTTTAAACATAGCTTAACTTTAAAACTATCAGCCATTTTATCGTGGACATCTTCAATGTCATATTGGCTTAGGTGTTACAAAAATGATCACATTTAAAGGTTTGAGAACGAGTCCACAATAAATGATCGCGATGCCGTATCCACAACGTGACAGTTTAGCCGAATGGTCTAAACTGAGCAAACCTCCAATTCCAGCCAAAGGCCAGTCAAGCAAAAACATCACCCCGGGTGGATGAGACTCGTTAACGTTGGTCGACAACTCATCTAAGAGAAGGAAACTCCGAATTCAAACCCGGAGTTGGAGTCCCGTAAGATGCATACATTGACACCTCCTGCAACCTTATCCATCCCTGGTCGTCTTGACGTAGAGTCTTGCCACTGGATATGGTGGGCTCGGACGAGAGAGTGAGGTCGACGCCGCGCAACTCTTCCTCACTTTAAGCAAAAGTCACCCGCGCAAGTCATCAGTCACCGGACGACTCGATGGTCCTCGTCGATCTTCGACGGACGAGCAATAATAATAAAATAAAATCCCCAATGGGTTGAAATCCCCTGTAACAGAACGACTGTCACCAATCAGGCCAATGTCGATAATTTTGCGTGGAAATAAGTGTAGTACGTGCATGCAGTCAAGTTATTATAAGTTACAACAAATGAGTGTCTTAAGATAATATTTTAGTTTCGTGTAATATATTTTCATTGTTGAGTAAAGTGTCATGTAATGTTGTTTCTCCTGGAATCATTTCTCCGAGCAATCTATATCCCGCGAATCACCACTCCTCAGAGCCGTGCTCCAAACTACACAGATGTAATGAGCTGCCTTATGCTCAGTGCTATTTCTTCAAATTTCTACAATTCTTCTGACACCACCTTGTTGTAATGCGTCCAAGGAAACACAATAACAAAATAAGAAATCAAACGAACCATCGATTTAAATCAAAATAACAACAGCACGACCCCTCAGTATATACGTCATTTTTAATTAGCCTAAGTCCTCCAGTTGGCTAAATCCAGGTCTGTGCACAGACACCCACCTAGACAATGCACACTCTACTGATTGCCCAAACACCAAACTGTACACCACACTACTGGGTTCATGCCCCGACACACAACAGTACACGCTTTCTCTACGACTTCTGGTTGCATGTCCAAACCCCTAGTGACACACTCTCCTGCTCAATGCCCACTTGCTAGAACGCCACTGAGGATATGCCACTGATGCAGACTGAAGCGTTCTTTGATTTGCCAATTACACGTGTTGATTGAGCCTCGGTGCGTTCAAAGAAAATTGCGTTCACGTGAATCAAAAAACATTGCCATAGAATTGTCATGACGTCAGCAGTTTGTGCATAGTTAAAATACAAGAAATCCCACACTCTGAGGCCACCATCGCTTGTAGCTGGGGGGATCAGTAAGAAATGTGCCGGCACTAGGGTGAGTTATTCTTAGAACTAAATAATTTACTACATTCGTTGGACTGTCCGTCCGATCTAATAGCAATGATTTGCCCGTTCGCAATCACAGGTTGCAGCTGAACATTGGTCTGATTGACATTAGCTGAAATAACTGTAGCCGTACATTAGTTCTAAACATATTTTGATTTTGCTCTACAAGCACTGTGACCCCCCCCCCCCTTTCCCCCAAAACGCTGCAACTAAAATTGAACGAATTTAGATACGTTTTCTTGCTGACTTGAATAGCGTTGCAATAAAATAAGTAAGGCCAACACAGTGACAAAGGAAGGAGGTGCTGACGGGGCTGACCGCCCCGGGCCGCACTTTTTCCCGTATACTGAGGGGCGGAATTTTCGGCCACCTGGAGAATTAGTTCGTGGAACGGGGGCGACAAAAAGCTTGACTTGCCCCGGGTGCCACTAACCCTGGCTACTCCACTGGGCCTACGTTTTTTTTCCTGGAAAAGTTCCCTCTTTGTTAGGGTATTCACAAAATCTATGATAGGCACAGAACCTACTATAGTCAAAGGACCTATTATAGTCACAGGACTACTAGAGTAACAGGACCAGCTATAATCACAGGATCTACTACAATCACAGGGCCTACTATAGTCAAAGGACCTACTATCGTCCCAGGATCAACTATAGTAACAGGACTTGCTACAGTCACAGGACCTGCTATAGTGTCAGGATCTACTAAAGACACAGGACCTACTATAGTCACATGACCTACTATAGTCACATGACCTACTATAGTTACATGATCTACTATAGTCACATGACCTACTATAATCGCATGACCTACTATGACTATAGTCACATGACCTACTATAGTCACATGACCTACTATAGTCTCAGGACCTAATATGACTGTAATCACAACCTACTATGGGCACAAGTCCTACTATAGTCCCAGGATCAACTATAGTAACAGGACTTGCTACAGTGACCGGACCTGCTATAGTCACAGGATCTACTAAAGACACAGGACCTACTATAGTTTCATGAACTTCTAAAGTCACATGACCTATGTCACATGACCTACTAAGTCACATGACCTACTATGACTATAGTCCTATGACCTACTACAGTCACAAGATATACTCTAGTCTCAGGACCTAATATGACTGTAATCACAAAACCCACTATAGGGGTAGGACCTACTATATGCACAGAACCTACTATAGGCAATGACCTACTACAGGCACAGGACCTACTACAGTCACAGGACCTACTACAGTCACAGGACCTAATACAGTCACATGACCTACTTTAGTCACATGACCTACTATGGGCACAAGACCTATTATAAGCACATAACCTATTATAGGTACAGAACCTATTATAGTCAAAGGACCTACTAAAGGCACATGATCAATTATAGTCATAGGACTTACTACAGGCACAGGACCTACTATAGTCATAGGACCTACTATAGGCACAGGACCTACTATAGTCATAGGGCATACTACAGACACAGGACATACTATAGGCACAGGACCTACTATAGGCACATGACTAACTGTACGCACAGGACCTACTATAAACGCAATTAACTGAACTGATTTGTCGACGCCCTCGAAAAAATTCATTTGAAAATTGCGAAGGGTGGGCAGGGGCGTAGTTATAAAATAAACTTTATGCCACTTAGGGTGACCGATTAGTATGACGGCCTCTGGTACCGAGAGAAAGAACATACTATTTCACATAAGGAGCTACGACTAGGGAATCGGGGGGGGGGGGGTTGGGGGGGGGGGGGAGATTACCCCTTTCGCGAATTACCCCTTTCGAGAGATATTAGGCCTACTCGTTTTCATCGGTTTTCAGCGCAAATCCGAGTTGATCATAACTAAGACAAAATGCGAATACGAAGTGTTAGTAAAATACTGCGACACTGTGTTCACGCCTGAGTTTAACATTCAAATAACACAATTGGCAGAGCTCATTCCAGTCAGTTGCATAACATATCTAAGTTAAAATCAAGAGCAGGGTACCTCCAGAGTGAGTGCCGTAAAAAAAATGGAGTGCTACAAGAACAGGTAGCAGGCCCGTTCTTAGGCATACGCTGACTACGCATCCGCGTAGGGCCCCGAACGCGAGGGGGCCCCTGTGAGGCGCCCTCGATGCCCCGTTTTTTTTAAAAAACTGGCACTGCAGCCGTCTGTGTCACTCACGTTACCTTCCTCATCCTGAAATTTATCACTCTGCGTTGAATTCGGAGGCAGGGGAAGGGAAGCAGCAGGGGGGAGCTTGGGGGTGGCAAACAGGAAATCTTGGGCTTGGCCGTGGGAATGGGAAAGAGGAAACCTTGATAAAGGCAGAATGGAGGTGCCTCAGTGGTGGGTGATGTTTTCTCCTCAGCACGAGGGAGATCCAGCCCAGACCCCAACTTCCGGGGCCCCCAACCTACGCCCCCAAACTCCTAAGAACGGCTCTGCAGGTAGAGTGCCATAAGAACAGAGTGCCACAATAACAGAGTGCCATGCGTACAAAACAAGATATGCAGAAAGTATTGCTGTTATGGGCGTGGAGAAGACAAAGTGTCGGCACACCTAGAACAGTTCGCTGACTATCATTATTTTTTTTTTGTTTTCGTTTTTTTGTTGCCTTTAAGAACTACTCGGTGACGGTTCGAAAAGAGCGGAGTGATAAATTTCA